CGGGCAGAGCTTCCGCTCAAAAACTCTTTTCTTCTCAGGATCTTCGGGATTCGGGTCTCGTGAATGATATCGGGGCTTCGGGGGGTTAAAAATAGGGCTTAGAGAGGGTATCGGGAGTGGGAGAGTAAGGGAATATCAACCAAAATCGGATGCCCTTCGAATTCTATTTATAGGGCTAAAATACTGAATTCACGTCATGAAATCTCAAAATTCATGTCGTGAGTTCAGTCAGGCATTCGTCATTGCGTTCGTCATCAGTGCACTTGCTCTGGAAGGCTCCATAAGGCGTCAGTATTGATTTCACGTCGTGAACACTGTTTTCACGTCGTGAACTCCGACAAATTGTTGGGGTTCGCACCCCGAACTTCAGAAATTCATAACTTTCGCATATGAACTCCGTTTTCGACGTTCTTTTTTTCATGCGTAGGTAAAAACAAGATCTACAACTTTCATTTAGACTCCGTCTTCGAATTTTGAATTTATTTTTATTATACATTTATTATGTTATTTTTAGTAGGTCGGAACAGGAAAACTCCGTTAGAAAATCATAACTCCTTCGTCTGTCATCCGTTTTCGTCTGTCTTTCTGTCGTTGCACTACTATTGATGAGATCTTCAATTCTCATTTAGAAAGTTTTGGCTAAATATCGGTCGATCTCATATCCGAACTTCGGGCTGTCTACTACTAAGCTGAAATTTCGAAAAATCATAACTTCCTCATACAAAGTCAGATTTGGGCGTTCTTTTTATGTACGCTCTCGGTTTAAAATATTCTACGACTTTCGGTTAGATCACTAAGGATAGATATCATTCTATCTTAATTTCGCATTTTACGACATTCAGTGTCATGTCGGTTCTGTCGCGAAACTTCGACATGTCATAACTTGTTCGTTATAACTCGGATTTCAGCATTCTTTATATATTCAGAAACCTCGTCACGACCACTACCACATCCTTCATAGATATAGGGATTATCTAACATTTCATTTTGACGCTTATTTTTTATCCTTAATTCATTTAAGTCGCACAACTAAACACAAAACACATAATACTCAAATAATACATCTTTATTATTTCAAGACGGGTTACAAAGGTTAACCTAGATTATTACATCGCTATTAATGACAAGCCTAGAAACACGGGCTTTACAATTCTCTCCACCTTAGAATGATTCCATCTCCGAAATTACACATCAACAAACAAATGCGGATAGCGACTCATTATGTCACTCTCCGTCTCCCAGGTGAGATTTGGCCTATTCGTATGTTTCCAATGGATAAGCACTAACTCGACCATCTTGCGTCGTAACTTCTTAGTCTTTCGGTCAACAATTGCCTCCAGTTCTTCAATTAACCTCTTGTTTTCATCAATTCTCAACTTTGAAAGTGGAATCATGTCGGGAACTTCTCCCATGAACTTCCTTAAATAACACACATGAAAAGTGTTATGTATACCATTCAGTTCTTTGGGTAATTCGAGCTCGTAAGCTTGGTTACCAATCCATTGAAGAACTTTAAACGGTCCAATGAACCTCGGACTTAATTTTCCTCTTTTACTAAATCTTATAAGTCCCTTCCATGGCGAGACTTTAAGTAAAACCGCATCTCCAACTTCAAAAGTCATCGGTCTTCTTTTCTTGTTAGCATAGCTCTTTTGACGATCTTGAGCTGCTAACATTCTTTCCCTGATTATTTTCAGCTTTTCAGCGGTTTGATGAACCATCTCGGGTCCCATAAACTGCTTTTCCCTAGCCTCAAGCCAATAAGACGGCGTACGACACTTCTGTCTATACAAAGCTTGATAAGGTGCCATCTTTTTGCTCGAGTGGAAACTATTATTGTAGGAAAACTCTACCAAAGGTAAATGTTCATCCCAATTACCTAGGAATTCCAAAGTACATGCCCTCAGCATATCTTCGAGTGTTTGTATCGTTCTTTCGCTTTGACCATCAGTCTGTGGATGGTAAGCTGTACTCAAACACAACTTGGTACCCAATTCCTCTTTTAGACTTTTCCAAAACCTTGAGGTGAAACGGCTATCACGATCCGATATAATCGTTAACGGAACACCATGAAGCCTCACAACTTCCTTCACGTAAGAATTCGCAAGATTTTCCATAGACTACATCTCATTGGCTGTTATGAAACGCACACTCTTAGTGAATCGGTCAACGACCACCCAAATCATGTCGTGACCACTTTTCGTTTTAGGTAATTTAGTGACAAAATCCATAGCAATGTCTTCCCATTTACCCATGAGCACAGGTAAAGGTTCTAAACTCTCGTATGGTTTCTGATGTTGTTTCTTGACTCTCACACAAGTCACACACTCGGCCATATACTTTGCAATATCAAGCTTCATCGTCGACCACCAGTAATAGGGTTTCAGGTCCATATACATCTTAGTGCCGTCGGGATGAATTGAGTACATGGTTTTGTGAGCTTCTTCCATCAGAATTTCACTGACTCCTCCTATCTTAGGTATCCAAATCTGATCTTATTACACCTTCAGTCCATGACTGTTTACACTGAACACTAACATTTTGCCCAAACGTTCTCCCTTTCGGTCATTCTTCTTAGAAGCTTCTTCTTGAGCTTTCTATATAATCTCCACAATTGTCGAGACAACTTCTATTCTCAACACTCTTAGCCTTTTTATTTCAGGATTGACCTTCCGATTGAGAGCATCAGCGATGACGTTTGCTTTACCAGGGTGGTAAAGTATCTCACAGTCTAGTCCTTAAGTAACTCTAGCCAGCGTCGTTGCCTCATATTCAATTCTTTCCGACTAAAGAGATATTGGAGACTCTTATGATTAGTGAAAAGTTTTCACTTCGTGCCATATAGGTAATGCCTCCATATCTTCAGAGCGAAAACTACCGCCGCCAACTCCAAATTATGAGTTGTGTAGTTCTTTTCATGCTCCTTCAACTATCGAGATGCGTATGCGATGACCTTATCTCTTTGGGTCAAAACACAACCCAATCCAACACCATACGCATCGCTATTGATGGGTTTTAGGTAAAACAAATAAACTAGAAAACAATTCCTAAGTTCACATGCAACCTACTTTGGATCTATGTTTTAACTATTGAACATATAACTTTGAATTGCAAAATAAGAACCCTAGAGGAGAGAGACTATTTTTGAAAATAAAAAAATAGGGTTTAGGAGTTACATACCTTTCAATTGTTATAGCAAACAATTGACAGTCCTCTTGATCTTGATCTTGATCTTCTTGGAAGCTTAGCACCACAAATGTAATGCCTCTAATGGAATCACACCCAAGAACTAGCAAGAAGGAAACTTGAAGGAGAGAGGGTAGAGGGAGTATGCAATTTCGGCTCTAGGGTTTCTTCCAAGGTAGGAGTGGCCAATTTTAGGAGCTGGGAGGCTCCTTATATAGCTGAGGGATCTAGGGTTTGGGGAAAACCCTAATGCTCCTTTGCTTAGGGCCTAAGCAAACCCAAGGGCCGTATCTAAAACCCCTTGTAAGAAATCCTTAGGTTTTCCCCTATAGATTTTGTCCACCTCCTTCCAAGGAGGTTCTGGAGCCTTCCACTCAACTATCTGATAATTGCAAAGTAGTCCTTTTAACATAAGTAAACATAATTGCAATTAACACTTTTAACCCTAAAATTAATTCTGATTAATTTATGGCTAACTATTAAGTAAACATAATGATTCCTAATTAATATATTAATCTTTTAACATATTAATAAATCATTTATATTATTTTATTAATCTCATAATAAATTAATATCCCTCCTTTCATATTTTCCTTGTCCGGTTGCTAGGTTTGAGGCAACCTAAAAGGACTATGCTACTATCTAGCCCTGTCAAAAATACCCGTTACCCGAATTACCCGTTCGATTTTTTCGAGTATCGGGTAAATCGGGTTGGGTAATTTGGGTATCGGGTTAATTATTTCGGGTATTTGGGTAACCCGGTTTTTTTTCAGGTCGGGTAAAGGGTAAGGTTGTTGGGATTCGGGTATACCCGATTACCCGAAATTTATTTAATAATAACGGGCCAAAACATAATCCCCTTATCCGTCCCAATTAGTCTTAGTCCCAAATTCAAGTGGCCTCGTTCTATTTTCTCTTCGTCAAAAGAAAACCCTTGTTCTCACTTCGCAGTCCACTCGTCATCGTTCGTCACCGGTCAATCAGCTTCAGGTAGCCGTCGCCGCCTCCTCGCCGGTCATCAGTCGGTCGCCGCCTCGCCGGGTCATTGGGTATTCAGGTGCACTTCCGATACAGTACTTGGCTTTAGCTAGTCGTCCTTCTGTCTATACATTTTGCTAATTTTCCCCTGTTTTGTCTATACATTTTTCTATGTATACAATACATGTTTTGCAAATTTTCATATATTATCATTGGATAATTGCTACTGTTTTTCTCAATTTGGATGATATTAAAGTGCCAGATGATGATTACTCATTTCCCTTATCTTCTTAATTTGTCATACTTGTTTATCATCTTAATCTGTTATACTTGTAAATAGTTGGATATAAACTCTTGAAATTTACCCACCAAACAGAGAGCAAGTCAAATATACACTTACAGAGAGCTAAGGTATTTGTTATTCTAGAAATGATTATTTACAATTTGCTTCTATTCTTATTTACAGTTTGTTTCTATTCGTATTTACAGTTTGCTGCCAAAAGTTATTTACAGTTTGTTTCTATTATTTGTTATTGTAGATTCTCATTCGACTTTATTGTTAATTAGTGTTTTAACTCATTGGTAATTAATTAGTGATTGTCATGCCATATTGTTTTATAAATGCTTGTTATATAATTATGCTTTGTTGTTTTATAATTCATAGTTTGTCATGTTATTATCGCATAGACACAATCCCAGAACACTAGCTAGTTTGTCATGTTTCTATTCTTATTTACAGTTTGCTGTCAAAGGTAAGGGTAGTATGGTCCATTTTTATGTTTTTTAACAGTTTTTTTTTTAGATGTCAAATACGGATGACTATATTGAAGTGGAAGATGAGACCATTGAAGTTGAAAACCCAACTAATGATCAAGTTCCACAAGAAAAACAGAAAAAAAACTAAAGAATTCAACCCACGATCGAAAGTTTGGAAAGAATTTGAAAGGTATAAGGATGAAAATGGTGTACAAAGATGTAAATGCAAGCATTGTGGTGGTGGGAATTACAAGTGCGAATCAAGTGGTTATGGGACAAAAAATCTAGGTTATCATTTAACGAAATGTAAAGCTTACTTGGATAAACTTAGTGGTGGGCAAAAACAACTAACTTTTCAATATGGTGATGAAAACAAATTGTCAACTTGGAAATTTGATCAAAATGAGAGTCGTAAGGCTCTAGCCCACATGTTGGTAGTTGATGAACTTCCTTTTAGCTTTGTAGAAGGTGCGGGTTTTAGGTATTACAATAGTGTTAATCAACCATTGTTTAAAGTTCCATGTCGAAGTACAAGCACAACGGATGTCTACCAATTGTTTGTAGACGAAAAAGAAAAAAATTTGTGACTTTATTAAAAAAACGTTGGTAGAATATGTTTGACCACCGATACGTGGACTTCTAAACAACAATCATGTTATATGTGTCTCACCGCCCACTTTATTGATAACGAATGGAAGTTGAAAAAAAAAGTTTTGTGTTTTTCTTCTCAAGAGAGTCACCGTGGGGTTGATATTGGAAAAATGGTTGAGAAATGTTTAATGGAGTGGGAAATAGAAAATATTTTCACAATTTCTGTTGACAATGCAAGTGCGAATGATGTGGCAATTGACTTCTTGAAAAAAAGTTTTCAAAACTCCAACACGTGTCTTCTAAATGGGAAATGGATGCATATTCGATGTGTTGCCCACATTTTAAATTTAGTGGTGCAAGATGGCATAAAAAAAGTTGATAAGGCGGTTGAGATAGTTCGATGGGCGGTTAAATGGATTAGGCAATCGCCTTCTAGAATTCATAAGTTTACCAATTTTACTAAGGTTGCTAATCCCGGTATAACAAAACACTTGAAGAGAGATGTGCCAACAAGATGGAACTCTACTTACCATATGTTGGAAATTGCACAAGCTTACGAAAAAACTTTTGAGAGATATGATCTTGAGGAATTTGATTTTCGGTACGAAATTGAAAAGGCCAGTTTGTCGATACCTTCATCAAGCGATTGGGAAAGGGTTAGGAATATATGTCATTTTTTAAAACCTTTTCATGATGTTACTTTGAGGATTTCCGGGACACTTTATGTGACATCAAACACGTGCATTGAAGATATATATTCCATTCGTACGCTCTTGGATGATGCTATTTCTGATTCCACTCTTTGTGATATTGCATTGGCCATGAAAAAAAAGTTTGATAAGTATTTTGGCGATGTAGAAAAAATGAATTTATTGCTCTACTTTGCATTGATTCTTGATCCAAGGAACAAAGTAAAGTATTTGGTTATACTACTTGAGGATCGTTATGGAGAAAATGGGGTCGAGGCCAAAAAGAAATATATCATGGATTCTATGTATGAATTATATAATGATTATATTAGAATTCATTCTCCAATTTCTACTTCAAGTACTGCCGAGTCTACCACTTCATCATCGATATTAGGGAAACGCCAAAACCCGGATTTTATGGCACCTAACCCCCCATTGAGAAATAAACTAAGAGAAAAGATGAAGACGAACATAGTTGAATCAATTGGGGAGTTAGAAAAGTATTTTCAAGAAAGTGTTGAAGACGACTTGGAAATGTTTAATATTCTATATTGGTGGAAAGTGAATAGTCCAAGATTTCCAATTCTATCATTGATGGCAAGAGATGTGTTCGCCATTCCCGTCTCAACGGTGGCTTCAGAATCCGTTTTTAGCACTAGTGGAAGGGTTTTGGATCCGTTTAGGAGTTCTTTGACTCCTAAGATTGTTGAAAGTTTAATTTGTACACAAGATTGGATTCGGGGTAGCATAAGTGACACAATCGATTATGAAAAAGATTGGGAAGAAAATCAACAAATTGACAAAGGTAATTGTTTATTATCTTAATGATTGTAAATTTAATATCTTTTCCTTTTAATACTAACATTATTTAATGTTTTTTATATAGATTTGAGCAAGATGGTGTAGTGAAGGTGCAAGAAGAACGAGTATATTTTTGAATGTCTTTTGGAACTTGACATGTTATTATTTTCATAATATGTAATGGTTTTCTATGTTTTGTAGATTTAAGACTTATGAGTTTTTTGGTAATGCAAAATACATGCATATACATTGTTATGATGTTATCAAGTAATTTAAATGGTTGACTTTGGTTGTTATTATTTCATCAAAATGCGTTCATGTATACTTTTATTTATCGTTCGGTTTTGGCTTATTTATAGTGTTTTAATTTACAAATCTTCCATCTAAAACAACGAGTAATAAATCTAGTCTATATATTAAACTCTTTTTTTATTCTATTATGAGATTCAACATTTAAACTAAGATTTTTAAGAATTTATTTTTTTAACATCTTATTAGATTAGATTAAAATTGTTAAGCCTTGATATTTCAAGTATTATTGACTAAAAAACATCAATGTTCAAAGTTTCAACACGACATATTTCTTTTTAGATGCCATTTAAAATTTATTAAAAAAAAAAAAAAAAAAAAAGGGTAATACCCGAATTACCCAAACCCGACCCACTACCCGAATTACCCGAATTTATTTTGGGTTGGGTAACGGGTATTTTTTTAACATGAAAAACCCGAATTACCCGACCCAAATTACCCGAAACCCGAAAATTTTACCCGATCAACACCCCTACTACTATCAATTCAAGTACATACCAATTATAGTTATGGGCTTAGACACCTAATCCAATAGTCTCCCACTTAGATAAATCTGTAACTATAATTGCTAGTGTGACTTCTAAATTTGACCAGCAAACTGTGGCTTCCAAAAGCTATTGTCGAACTCTGACCCATTCAGTTATGTGTCATAAGATACTTGATCACATGACCCTTCGTTCTACTAGATATCCCTAGACATAAGACATGGAATACAACCAATCTCTTTGTCAAAAATCTATGTTTCCCGATTTCTGATTTGTGATTATATAGGACTTCTAATCGAACACATCAATTCAGTCCTGTCTGGGCCCAACACAAAAGTCAACACCAAATCATCGAGGGGCCCACAGATATCACTTTTCCCGTCAGGTCAAAAGGAACGAATAAACATTGACCCATATGCTTGTATCTTTTACTCATCAAACCATACATGACGATACATTTTATAACACCAAGTTACTAATGTGTTTTCGTATCACCAATGTATAGCTGACTCTTATATCTTTGTTTCAAGATCATAGATATTATGGTCTCAGTATTACTCGTGATGAATTCCATGAAGTAATAATCTAAGTGTGGGTTTATCCAATACTCAAATCTTACTCTCTGAGTACTCATGAACATTGCAACAATTATATTGCTATGTCTAATTTTAGACAATCTGCAATCCAATTCGTGATAGTCCTAATTCACTACTTACTTCCAAAAGTACGAGCGACTGTGGAGTTTGAACAATCATATTATTCGGGAAGTAAAAGATGCAAAATATGAAACACAATAATAAACAATTGAAAATAGGAAGTGAACAAACTTATAAATAATACTTTATTATTTAATCACCAAAAGTCAATTACATTTACTTGGTAACAAGTTTCTGAACTAATCTAACCACTAAAACTAATATCATCTTTCAGCCCTATGCTTCGAGCATGCTGAATATGCTTAGCCCTACTCAGACCCTTTGTGAGGGGGTCTGCTGGGTTATCTTTAGATGATACCCTCTTTACAACAAGATGGGCTTCTTCTACTCTATGCCTGATGAAATGGTACTTTCTGTCGATATGTCTGGTTTTACCATGGTCTCTGGGTTCCTTAGTTAAGGCAACCGCTCCCTCATTATCATAGAATAGTTCCATAGGCTCCTGGATGGTTGGAACAACTCTGAGATCCCCGATGAAGTTCCTCAACCAAGCTGCTTCTTTAGACGCTTCACTCGCTGCTATGTACTCTGATTCACAAGTAGAATCAGCCACCGTATCTTGCTTGGAACTTTTCCAAGTAACCACTCCTCCATTCAGTAGAAATACCCAGCCAGATTGAGAACAGAAGTTATCTCTATCCGTTTGAAAGTTGGCATCACTGTAACCATCTACTCTCAAAGTATCATTGCCACCAAGTACAAGGACCCAATCCTTCGTCCTTCGTAAATACTTGAATATATTCTTTACTGCTATCCAATGAGCTATGCCTGGGTTTCCCTGATATCGACTAACCATGCGCAAAGCAAAGGCCACATCAGGGCGAGTACATGTCATAGTGTACATGATCGATTCGACAGTGGAAGCATAAGGTACACGACTCATGTCAGCTATTTCTTCATCTGTACTAGGGCATTGAGTCTTACTCAATTTTGTACTGCTCTGGATAGGTAGCTCTCCCTTCTTGGAATTTTCCATACTACACCTATTTAGTACCTTATCCAAGTATGTGCTCTGACTAAGTCCAATTAGTCTCTTCTTTCTATCTCTCAATATCCTAATCCCAAGAATATAGGCGACTTCTCCTAGGTCTTTCATGGCAAAACACTTTCCAAGCCAAGACTTAACTTCGTTCAAGGTTGGAATGTCATTACCAATGAGTAATATGTCATCGAAATATAACACCAAAAAATTTACTATACTCCCACTAGCCTTGATATACACACAAAACTCATCTTCACTTCTAGAGAACCCAAACTCTTTGACTTTCTCATGGAAACAAAGATTCCAGCTGCGAGACGCTTGTTTCAACCCATAAATGGATTTCTCAAGCTTACACACTCTATTGGGAAACTTTGCATCAACTAAACCTTCTGGCTGATTCATGTAAACATCCTCAGCCAGCTTCCCATTAAGGAAAGCGGTATTGACATCCATCTTCCAGATTTCATAGTCATGAAAGGCAGCTATGGAGAGCAATATCCCGATAGATTTAATCTTGGCTACTGGCGAGAAAGTTTCATCATAGTCAACCCATGGGGTTTGTGTGAAACCTTTCGCAACCAGTCTAGCCGTGAATGTGTGTACATTCCCATCCATGTCTGTCTTCTTCTTGAAGATCCATTCGCAACCAACTGTCTTACGACCTGGTGCATTATCAACCAAATTCCAAACTTGGTTGTCATACACGGACTTTATCTCGCTGTCCATTGCCTCTTTCCACTTGGAAGCCTTTGGGCCTGCCATTGTTTCCTTATAAGAGACTGGTTCATCTAAATTCACCAGTATCCTATCACTGATGAATGTGTCACCATCTAAAGTAATATGAAAACCATACAACTCAGGTGGCACACTCACCCTAGTGGATCTTCGAAGAGGTAATGATTTATCAACTGATTCAACAGGAATTGTTTCCTATGGTTGAGTGCTAGTGTCATCTAAGGTTCCTTCATTAGTTGACTCTTGAATCTCTTCAAGGTCAATGGTACTCCCACTGTCCTCTTTGAATATGAGCTCTCTTTCTAGAAAGACTCCTCTTCGAGCTACAAACACCACGTTCTCACTAGGTTTGTAGAACAAATATCCAAAAGGCTGTTTTGGGTAACCAATGAAAACACATTTCTCACTTCTTGTTGTTAACTTGTCGTGAGTCTCTCGTCTTATGAAAGCTTCACAACCCCAGACTTTAATATGTGATAACAAGGGAACTTTCCCTGTCCACATTTCGTGAGGTGTTTTGGCAACCTTCTTTGTTGGGACAAGAGTTAGGATGTGGGCGGTTGTTTCTAGGGCATAGCCCCATAAATGAATTGGAAGTGGAGCACGACTCATCATAGAACGAACCATGTCTAACAAGGTTCGATTACGCCTCTCGACCACACCATTTGACTGTGGTGTCCTAGGAGGATTCAATTGTGAGACTATCCCACATTCCTTTAGATTGTCGTTGAACTCAATGCTAAGATACTCCCCGCCTCTATCGGATCTAAGTATCTTTATTTTCCTACCTAATTGATTTTCGACCTCATGTTTAAACTCTTTGAACTTTTCAAAGGTTTTTGACTTATGTTTGATTAAGTATACATAACCATATCTACTATAATCATCAGTGAAAGTCACATAAAATCAATTAGCATCTCTTGTGGTTGATCTGAAGGGTCCACAAACATCTGTATGTATGAGGTCCAACAAACCTTCACCTCTTTCACAAGACCCGGTGAATGGTGATTTTGTCATCTTTCCCAAAAGACAAGATTCACACACATCATCTGATTTTAGGTAAAATGTTTCCAACAATCCATCCTTTTAAAGTTGGACTATGCGTTTCTTGTTAATGTGTCCAAGACGTCAATGCCACAAGCATGCCTTGTCTACACTATTAGACAAGTAAATATTAAACACACTATTTTCTAAGCTATCAACATAAGTCACTATTTCATACACACCATCACAAGGTAAAGCTTCAAACACGAAAACACCATTGTTATAAACAGAATTTGAACCATTCAAATCATTACAAGAATATTTAAAACCTTGTCTGAACAGTGCATGAAATGAAATAATGTTTCTCGTCATCTCAGACAAATAGCAACAATTCAATAAATCTAATCTAACATCATTACTAAGCAAAAGTTGATAAACTCTGATCTTGGTTACTGGTGAAGATTTCTTATTTCCCATGATCAAGTTTATCCTTCCTCGCTCTATCTCCTCACTTTCCTTTAGCCCCTACAAATCAGAACAAATGTGAAAACCACATCCTGTATCAAGGACCCATGAACGAGAAGATAATGAGTTATTAGAAGAAATAGTGTAAATACCTGATGAAGATGGCTTCACTTTGCCATTTTTGATATCCTGCAGATATTGTGGGCAGGTTCTCTTCCAATGCCCTTTTTGATTGCAATAAAAGCAAACAGCTTCCTTTGGATCAGAAACATGGGGAGTGGAAACATTGGGCTTAACTTTTGGACCACCTCTAGATGACCCGACTTGGAACTTTGCCTTCCAGTTTTGCATAGGAGGACCTTTCCTCTTTTTCCCCTTTCCCTGTTCAATAGATAGAACAGGAGCACTTGCAGGAGTGGAGGCTATACTTTTACCCTTCATCCCTGCTTCAGCAGTCTGCAACAAGTTGTGCAATTGGGCTAGTTTCTGCTTAGTGTTGTTTAAATGGTAAGTTAAGATAAACTGACCATAACAAT